CGCACCGACCTCCGCTGCGCGTCGGTCGATACTCCCGCTGTACTGTCTTCGTGCATATCTTGAGGTATCCTCGTAATAACCTAATACTTTGTTGTAAGCATTTCGAGAAAAATGTTCATGTTGTAGTTCACAAAACCCAGAGAAACATATATTGATACTACACCACTTTTCGTACAAGACACATGTCCACGAACCTCCATGAAAATTTATCATTGGTTTCTATAGTTACAATTTCTCACCTTATCTCAAATTTTATTTTAAATACATATAGTGAAATCACATGTAGTTATAGGATGGGTGTCACGAATTATTAGAAAATTCTGATAAATAATATTTATAAATAATGCTTCAACGTGGATTTCTAGGGACATTGTTTCAAACATGTATTATTGCATTGTTCATTTTTATAATAGATAAAAACCCAGACAGTTTGCGTCTAAATCAATAATTATGTAACATTTAAACAGTAAAACAGTGAAAATGATAAATTTGTCACCCCTGAATAACCGCGATTTATCTAAGGACATATACATTATATATTCCAACATGAATTTTACTTGAGACAGCCTTTCAAATCCAAGGTAGTGTCAATATGAAGACGTATCATGTAACCCGTAAAATAATAATCGTGTTGTAGGAAATAGAATAACACTTTCGTTTTGATAGCTACATTATTTAACATGTAATTATGTAGTGCATATTTATTTTTCAAAAAAGATGTTTGAGAATATGACAGTACAGAATTCGTGTCGTTTTTTTGCTCGAGTGTTACGGCAAATGATGTGAACAACACGGAAACAGTGTTTTGTCGATATTTGCAAGATAATGAATGAGCTAATGTTATAAAATTGTTAAAAAAATATAAATTATAATACCGAATATTCTGTTTTTATATTAATATGAATGGCTACTCCAATTAATCCAAAAAAACTATATTAAACAACTTACTCTTGTGTTACAAGTAATCTTCTGGTCGATGTGGAACTAGAGCCCACTTCTCTCCTAATGATGTGTGAAACACCGCATCTACCTGTCGGGTAGTCCTCCTGTATTATACCAGTCAGCGACGTAATGAAATCGTCTCTGCTTAATTCAAAATAGTCCTCGCTGACTGACAAATAGAATTCAACCAATCGATCGTACGGATTGAATGTATCGATTCGTACAGTGGCATCTATCAGTGACGATTTCTGTGGTGTTCCGTCATCCCTACCTTCCACATAAACTGTGTACTTGGTATTCACTGAGGGTTGCCTGTCTACAATCACTCTGATGTTACCTGTGAATAGATACATAATAAATAGTTGCACAAGACTCCTGTATACCATAATATATGCTACTGTATGATATGTTACGACATACCTGTATTTCTATCCAGTTCATACAAATCATTTGTTTCCTGGAAGTAATAGGTTACTGTTTGTCCCACGTCGGTATCAGTTGCAGTCACTGTTAGGACAGGTTCACCGAGATCGTTCAAATAAGACAACTCAGAGCTATAAAAGCTAGGGCTGAATGTTGGATAATTATCGTTAAGGTCACCAATGGTCACGATGACTGTGGTTGTATCGGTCCGTTCTGGGCTACCATTGTCAGTGGCATATACAAGGAATTCAATTGTCTCATACAACTCGCGATCCAGCGTTGTTTTCACAGTGATTTCACCAGAGCCTAAATCGACATCAAAATATGTGTTTGCAACATCATCTGTGTTTGGAATGGAGTAAGTAACCAATCCATTTGCTCCCGTGTCTGCATCAGTTGCAACCACGGTAACCACAACTGTGCCAATATCACTGTTTTCGTCCATAAATATCTCATAGAGCGTGGATTCGTATACCGGGTCGTTATCGTTTTCGTCCTCTACCGTGATGACAACGTCTACCAAAGTAAATTGTGAGACGCTGCCCAGATCCCTAGCCTTGCATACTAGACTGTACTGCGAGATGGATTCTCTATCTATCACGGCACTCGTGTGAATCTCCCCGGTGTTTGAATTGATGGCAAAATGATCTGAATTTGCTCCACTTTCGATAGAATACGCGATGAAACCATTCGCTCCCAGATCTGGATCAGTTGCCGCGAGTTGGCCTACAGATGTACTGATGTCAACGTTCTCTTGTACAACAAATGCATAGGTTGCCATGGTGAATGTCGGCGCGTTGTCGTTTACGTCATTGAGATTCAAAGTGACGTCAGCTGTATTAGATCTAGTTGGAGTTCCGTCGTCGGTGACAGTCACAATCATGTTGTATGCGTCAACGGTTTCTCGATCCAATAGTTGTTCCACTGTAATAATTCCCGTATCCTGGTCAATCGTAAAGTGGCCTAAAAGTAACATAATTACACTTAATTAAAATTGCACGTGAAATTGAATAAATTATTATTTTACGTCGAGTTACACTTTCAGAAGTTATATTATTTGTCATATTGTATATTTAGCATCCGTGAATTATACATATATCCTTGTATTTCTATGGACTCTGTGTGAGCTGCTGTGGAACACTGGTCTAAGAGCCGGTGAAAACAGCTAAATTTGAGAAAACAGCACAAACTCAACTTTGAAGTAACCCTGAGCAACCAAATTTATGTATGTTGCACACACAGGGGTAATCTTGTTACACTGTTAAGGGGAGTCTCAACAACTATCCCAAAGTACCGTTTTCTGAGAGTTTTCGGCCTTTGTTTTCACCGTGATGGTTGCCAGGCGGTGAAAATGAAGTTTGTAATTTGAAAGTGAGCAGTAATTGCTAAATGAAATCGAGCATTACGTGTCTTACACGCCTGTGATGACTACTGAACCAAGACATAAGACAAACCTAGATCATTGCCACTTGTCAATGCATAGGTCAGGTCGGCATTTTCATTGATATCTGCATCCGTTGCGTCGACATCGAACACAACTGTTCCCACCGGTGTGTCCTCGTCTAGCAATGCAGAATATGACGCTGGGTTCAGTATTGGGTCGTTATCGTTCACATCAGTTATCAGCACTGTCAACTCTCCTTCATCGTATAGCATGGGCACACCGCCATCGGTAGCATTAATGATTAAATTATACCTGTAAAGTAAACACAAAAGTAAAGTAATATAAAGTAAATATGAGGTAATGTGAGTATCTTGTATACTTTTTCAGTAAAAGCAAACCTTTTTTTCAATGAATTACAGAAGAAAAGCATGCGTCTCGGATTTATCTATACGTACTCGTGTTTTCAGTATTATATGATGTTACGATATCGTGTGATACAAAAAACGAACTTACGTGTCCTTAGTTTCTCTGTCCAGTGCAACTGCTGAAGTATACAGGTCGCAGTTGTCGGCGTCGACATAGAACTGTCCTGTGGGGTCGCCCGAGGTAATGACGCAGAGTATTTCGCCATTCGTTGTACTGTCCGCGTCAGTTACCTGTATAGGTGTAACCAAGACGTCTGCAGCGGTGTCTTCGGGAATGGCCACAGTAAACAAACTTGGTGAAACCTGGGGGGAATTGTCATTTAAATCATTCACACTGATTTGTATATTAGTATACCCGGTCAGTGATGGGGTTCCACCGTCTACGGCTTCTATCATCAGGCTATACATTACATACATTTCGTAGTCAATATCGGCGACCGTACTAACGACACCTGTGGTTGGATTAATCTCTACGTTGTCTTGACCCACCCCAGCTACAATACTATACTGAATGTCACTGTTGACACCGGCGTCTTCGTCCGTTGCAACCACCGTGATTATATTGGTTCCAATTGCAATGTTCTCGTCGATATTAATGGTGTATTGGTCTTGTCCGAATAAAGGTCGATTGTCATTTTCATCATCAACAACGATAGTCAGTATCATGACATCGTTGAGCGCATCGGCAGCATTTATGTCTTCATTGTCATACGCCGTAATCTCTAAGTCATAACTATTAACAGTTTCGTGGTCTAAGTACAAATTTAGACTTATTTCTCCGGTGTTTTTGTCCATTAGAAATACAACATCCGGGTCTCCGTCCGTTATAAAGTAGTACAAGGTACCATGCTCACCCGTGTCGTCATCAGTGGCAACAGCAGTGTATAGAACGGTTCCGATTGGCGTATCCTCGGACCACGTGACCGTATCAGTCGCCTGAGCGAATACTGGTGGGAAGTCGTTTTCAGACCTGACGGTGATCGTGACTAATCCTTCACTAGAGAGCGGAGGCGATCCTTGGTCAGTGACCTCGTAGCTAATTTCGTAGAAGTCCTTGATATGATACGCTAAAGCATTGGCAATAACAATGTCATTGCCGTTCAAAGTGAAGTCGCCATCGGCGTCGCCAGACAATTTTGCAACATCCCGTAATTTGTTCACACCCTGATCCAGATCATTGGTTGTCAACGTTAACACAGTCTCGCCAACAGCTAGACTTTCTGATATGCTTACGCTGTATACAGCTGGGACGAATACGGGTGTATTGTCATTCACATCTGTGACTGTGATCGTCACATTCTCTTCAGCTGAACGTTCATCGTTGAGAGCAGCAGAACTATCTGTGGCCGTGACAACAAGATCATAACTGGATCGCGTCTCTCGGTCCAGTTCCGCCACGGTTGATATAACCCCGTCCATCTCATCGATGACGAAATGCCCCGCACTGTTGCCAGATGTGATAGAGAACCTCACCTGTCCGTGTACGTGGCCAGCTGCATCATCGTCGGTAGCCCCCACCTGATAAACAGACTTTCCAAGGGGTGCATTTTCGATCACAGTAGCATCGTCATAGGGAAGAGACTGAAACACGGGAGTATATTCATTTACTGGTAATATGCTGATTGTTACGCGTGAAGTGTCGGAGTTAGCATTCGCACCACCATTCTTATCTTTAGCTGTTACCTCCAGCACAAAACTTTCGTAACTTTCGTAGTCTATGAGACCAGTTGTGATTATTTCACCAGAGCTAGCTCCAATTGTAAAGAAACCATCACCGTTACCATCTGTGGTTGAAGAACACAACAAGAAACTCGGTTTCAATCAATCACATACTATCATGGTATTTCAAATATAACAGTCTCAATACATATACTATATAATAGCGATAACATAGAATACATACCTGTTATACTGTATTCTATAACGTTGTTGTTATTGAGGTTGGAATCCCTGTCTGTTGCAACCACGATTTTAACAGCTTGTGGTGTAGCATCGTCCTCATTCACTGAGGCACTATAAATAACATAGTCACATATGAGAGGGCGTACCAATAACACAAGTCATTATGTTTTCATTTAAGTTCAACTGCATTGTTAACGTCACTGTAATAATTTGTTCGGGTTTAGTTCAATACTTGCAATTAAACATGTAGGCAGCTGTTCAGAAATAATCAGCATATATTTGGTAAAGAGGAAGTGTGTCACACGAATACGTCGGGGTATTATCATTAAATATAACCATGACATAACAATAAAGCACCTGTACGCCGTGGTTGTGTATACCATCAGGGTATTATCATTACATATAACCCTTCTATAATACTGACGTAACAATAATGCACACGTCTCGTGGTTATGAATACCGGGGCATTATCATTGAATGTATCCGTTCTATAATACTAACGTAACATTAATGTACACATCTCGTGGATATGAATATCGGGGCATTATCATTGAATGTATCCGTTCTATTTAATACTGACGTAACATTAATGTACACGTCTCGTGGTTATGAATATCGGGGCATTATCATTGAATGTATCCGTTCTATAATACTGACGTAACATTAATGCACACGTCTCGTGGATATGAATATCCGGGCATTATCATTGAATGTATCCGTTCTTTTATACTGACGTAACAATAATGCACACGTCTCGTGGTTATGAATATCGGGGCATTATCATTGAATGTATCCGTTCTATAATACTAACGTAACATTAATGTACACGTCTCGTGGTTATGAATATCGGGGCATTACCATTGAATGTATCCGTTCTATTATACTGACGTAACAATAAAGCACACGTCTCGTAGTTATGAATATCGGGGCATTATCATTGAATGTATCCGTTCTATAATACTAACGTAACATTAATGCATATGTAGCAGCTGATGTGACTATCGGAACATTATTATTAAATATACCCCTATATAATGTTAACGTAACAATAACTCACCTATAACCCGTGGATGTGAACTTCGGTGCATTATCATTGACATCGGTGACAGTAACAACCACGGTACCTGTCACAGTAGTTACACTATCCGTAGCCTCGATCGGTATAGTATACGATGTAGTCCGTTCATAGTCCAACTGTTGTAGTAGTATTATTGCACCCGAGGCTGTATCTAACATAAACTCACTGCAGTTGCAGGCAAACTCATCAATTGAGTATATCACAACACCGTGCGTCGTGGCTGATTCCGCCATATCACCGTCTGAAGCAAGTACTGTGACAATAGTAGATCCCACCGCGGTGTTTTCGGAAACCGTCGGCGTGTATAAAGCTACAATAAAGGACAGAATTTATCACAATTGCTTTGATCGTTAAAAAAGTAATAATGATATATAATGTTTATGAATTTACATATATTGCAAAATTATTGTATTTACATACTGGAAGGTGTACGAACACAGTCCAAATCAATGGCTGTGTTTTCGTACATTCATGATAATCATTGGGAAGGGCACGTGACTGTTGGTATGTTGGTACTCACCCGTGGGTTGAAATTCTGGATCGAACTCATTCACTGGATCAACTACAATACTTCCCTCTACGACCACATATTGTCCAACCGTGTCATTAACATATACTTGCAACGCGAAAGATCTATCGCCTGCGTCGTAATCGACGTTTGACTGCAAGAAAACTTCTCCATTAACATTCACTCCAAATTTGTCATCTCCTACCATGGTATATGTAAGAGTTGAGTCTCGAGGTCTTCATCGCTGCAATCCAGTGTGAACAAGACTGTTGTGGCCCCGAGATTGTGTCTTCTGAAAGATGCTCCGTAAACGACATATCGGTACAATAAGGAATGACGTCATTTACGTCAGATAAGGCTACTGTTAGAGTCTGTGTACCAGCCCTACCGCCGCCATCTGTTGCAACGATACGTAAATAATACGTATCAATAGTTTCTCTGTCTAACGGGGCTTTGATCGTCACCACAGCCGAGTTGCGATCAATGCTAAAATGGTCGTTAGGGTCACCATTCGTTATACCATACGTCATAACTCCAAATGCTGAAGCTGCTGAATCTCCATCCGTTGCTAGGCACGTTTCCACGTCTGTACCAACCGACGTGTCTTCTGGCACCGATTTGCTCCATGGCCCAGCAAATGACGGCGAAAACTCATTCACATCTTTGACGGAAATATATACTTTAACAGTTGAACTCAATGGCGGCACCCCTGCGTCCGATACTCGAAGACTTAACGCATACTGTATATTACCACTTTCGTAATCTAATGTGTCAGCTGTAATACAAATATT